ATAGAGGGGAGATGGTGACATTGAAATTGTTGATATTGTGGGGGTTTATGTTTGTGCTGGGATTCATACCGTTTAAATGTTGTTTTAAATTGCGCGCCAATTAGGAAGGTCTTGCTGTCAACAGTTGAATGAAATCAAGTATTTATTGCCGACCGATTGTCTCATGCGATGTCTCATTATATAACGCTCATAAATAATGTTGTGCTAGAATATTGTCCAGTCAATTTGAACATTGATTTTTCAAGGTGCCAAACCATTAAGGACGTATACACCAACTGTACAAATAGGTAATTTAGATGAAACGCGGTTTGATCTTGGCCTATACAACGTCGTATCCATCGTTCTCACTACAGAGGAGAGAAGGGGGCAGCCAGTGGGGGTGGGGGTTGAATATTGTGTGGGCGTCGCCAGGATTTTTTCTAGAGGGGGCAAAACATATTTTTGCCCAAAAAATGCCTGTTTTTCTCAACACATTCTCGATTTATCAGTTTCAGAGGGGGGCAGGGACATTTTGCCCCCCCCAACCCATTAAATTCACACCACTATGACTTCACGCCCCCCCTTTTTTTTTTGCTTTTATGGAGTGCCCCCCCCCCCCCTTCGCGACGCCCATGCCTATTTATGTTACACCTGTGAATGGTCACTTATATTTCCGGGGAAGTGGGCAACAATTTATATTTGTTATGGTGAAGGGGGTGTTTCTTATTAAAGTAGAAGTCAATGTCATTATAGCAGTTGGTGTTTTTATTATGGTGATGGGGTTGTATAGCAAAGTATTGTAACACGTTTATTTGCAGAAGAGAGTAAAACTAAAAGAAAGGACATATTGGAGCACTTCATAATTATGTCAAGCACCACATGTTAAATGTATTTATTATAAAACTGTGAAAATGAAATCAGGTATACAAGAATTTTTTTTAGTAATAATGTATTCGCATTCATTACTGTACAGGGTAGTACTTCGACAAAACTCAGGGGATATAATTGTAGTCAGTTTTTGGAGCAATTTTCGCAAGGGACGTCGGTCCAGGCTTGTTAACCATAGGCACAAACATTCCATGAAAGACTTTCAAGCAAGACGGCCAAAGGTTATTATGCAAATGCAGGTTTTTTTGTGTTAAAAGCTGTAATCATAAATAATGACAGTGGCATTGTAAGTTACAGGACAACATTTTTTTAATGAGGGTTGGTGAAAACTCATGAGAAATGGAGGGGTATGCGAGTATTAATATTTCGTTGTGAAATTTTAAGAGTGATTATGTAATTTGGTAATCAAAGACATTGTTTTGTTATCAAATAAGTTTGCCAGGATCGACACAGTCTGCTTGGCCAGTAATTATCGGGTAATCATTCCATCATTATTCCTGGGTACAACTAAGCCAAGGATATAATTTTAAAAAAAGGATGGACATAAAACAGCAGAAAAGAGTGCTTTTTTTCATGACTTCTAAAAATAAAATTATGGCTAGAAGGAAAATGTGTTTTGAATTTGAATGGGTAAAGAGAAAAAGCAGGAATCTTGCAGTTGAACTGGAAAGAATAGGTGTGTTCGTCTTGAGTTGAGATTCTTGCTTTGGGAACTGGTTGAAGCATGCACTGGAGCATGCTTGGAGCATGGTTGGAGCTGGTCATGTGATGTGGGTGTCATCGGGAGTCCTGTGTAAAGGAGTTAGAAAGAAAAGAATAACGACTAAGGTGAAGAAAACTTGTAAAACAAATACATCGGCTAACAATAGCTACAAATAAATTAGACAGGTGTTGCAATACCCCATTTATGCGGAATGCACTACTGAAGTACTAACCAAAAATGCCAAACAACGAAACATGTCTTATATGTTGTATTTTTGTGACCCCGGGACAACTCGTACCCGGGACAACTCGTACCCGGGACAACTCGTACTCGTCTGAAAATAAAACACTGTGCAGCGTACTCGTATCTGTGCCTTTACTTGTTCCGACTGTTATCATACTTATTTTTAACCAATTATTATTCAATTATTTTATTTCCATTTTTCATTTTTAAATAGAGAAAAAGTTTTTCATTTAAATAGGTCTCTCTGTTGTTGGCCTGAAGATTTTTTTTTTTTTAATACTGTTTTATTTTCGTTCTGTTTCAGAAACATTGACGCAATCTCTTTTCGGAATATGTGGTGGCTCTGAAAAGAGCACAATGACGCGTGAAACATGGCATCTCACACTACTCACTAAGCTAACAATTCTAATTAAGTGACTTTTGAATTATTTCACATAATTATGCAAAAGACTGACACGCTACTGGGATTGTTGATGGTTATCAAAATTAATGTCATTAAAAGTGTAGAAGGTGACATATGTAACATTTTTATAATTTTAATGACTCTGTCCACTTATTTTAGAAATAAGTTTTCGCAATAAATGAAGATCAAATAAGTTACGAAGCTCATGATTGCTATAGCTCCTTCCGCGAATTCGGCGAACTTCGCAATCATCGGCAAGCTGCCAGAATCTCTCCAGAACAATCTCTTGTTTGTCACCACTGGCAATTCCCAAAAACTCAACGGCTTTTGGTTTTCCACATCTTCGGATTTGTCAATTACATCTAACTAAAAAGGAACAGAAAAGTAAATGGTAAGAAAAGTACAAGGTACGAGTCGTCCCGGGTACGAGTTGTCCCGGGTACGAGTTGTCCCGGGTACGAGTCGTCCCGGGTACGAGTCGTCCCAGGTCACAAATTTGGGGTACGAGTCGTCCCGGGTACGAGTTGTCCCGGGTACGAGTTGTCCCGATACCTACGCTGCATGCTCTCATAACGAACGTACGTAAGATACGCAAGATGGCCGGCGCGGCCGGCTCAATGGGGAAGGGAATTATGGGAAATAGGGTGGAAATAGCCGGGCCCCGTTTCGTGATTGTAGTATAGATGCTTTGCTTGCCGCCTCGGCGCCGAGTGCAACAAATACTCAGAAGGACTAACATTAGTATGCCTTGCGCGGTCTGACCAATCGAAAGTCTGCACTGCGTAGTACTTCCGGGCTATGCGTAAAAACCGTCGATGGCAACGCGTACTGCAGCCTACTCCACACCCTGGAAACGAGGTTGGGTCTACGGTGCTCGCTATTTGAAGCACAAGCCGGTGACGTGATATAGTGCTCTGTTGCTCCATCATGTGTTTGTAGCTCCATGCTTCCACCAAGGCTGAGCGTTGTGAGTTCGCTGCCCGCCACGTATAATTCAGTGTCGCGTTATGATTTAGGGGGCCGAGGCCGGCCTGTTTGGGATCAACGAAGGTCAAGGATCGATGCGTCGCTTCAAATATCACGATCTTAAACGCAGTCACAAAAAAATCGACGAAAAAGTGTCCGACCCGGCGGAAGACACCCTCCACATTTTTCCACGGACGTGGAGCCATTTTGGCGTCGCGGGAGACCGCGGTCTCGGATCCTTTCAGTTTCAGGAGCAAACATTCCTCGGAGGCCGAGTAAAACTTGCTCTTATATAGATGGTTGATCCAACTTGAATAAAAGTTGAATCGACTTTTTCCTCGCAGACGGTCTCGCAAATGTAAGAAGTTCAACTTTACGTTTGTTTAAGAGTCCAATACTGAAACTTAATTATGACCTTCCTCCATGATTCAGACCGTTTGTAATTTTATGGTAACACTCCACATTTTCATTTCAAATGACACCTTCACGTTTTATTGCATTATGATTTATTGTCAAAACTGTACAATCAGCCTTCGCCTGTGTACTACGGTAACCTTTTTACTACGTTTTCCAATGCAACTGCCTCACAAAATGCCAATTTAACGGACGGGAACTTTACAGACAGTTGCCATGGTACATAATTATCATGTGCGTAAATCGATGGGGGACGGGGAACCCTTCCCCACCCCACATATTAAAGCGGGGACATTGTTTGGTTCCCCCCCCCCCACTTTTTCTTCCCCAAATAAAAATTGTAGCCTACAATAATGATTCTATTGCTCAGAATACATGTAGCTGATTCAATTACTCGAAACTCAAAACTTTAAAAGATGATCTTTTGCTCAAATTGGTTTTAGTGGTCAGAAATTGCCTCAGATCACATCACAGAAATTGCTTTTTCTATAACTGCATGTCTCCCCAACTATATCCCCCATTTACATTTAACTCCCCACATTTTCATCCCCAACACTACGCCCTACCCGATCTATGATCGGGTAAATCAGCTTGTTAGCCTATCCTCGGGCCTCGACCCGCGTCTATAACTGCCGCGGCATAATAGTCAACTGGCATCACGAGATATTCCGCCTTAACACCATTTAATATTTGTGCATTATTTCCGGAACATAATTGCTCAAAATCTGAAGTATAGTCCAACTAAGCTATTAAAGCTAGTAGCTACTAACAGTTTGAGAAAAGAGAGAAAACGTAAGCAGCAGCACACACATTGTTAGGTCTTATAACTGGATATCATAGCTAACGCACGTACAAAAATTGCTCTATATGGTACATACAATAAAGTCTATCCGCGCGCCCAACCGCTGGCCCCCTATAACTTCTATGTATTTCCTCCATAAACCAAACCACATCATTCCAAGCGGAATAAATTTGCAGGGTAGGCCTACATCTTTACTTTGAGCAAGTTTTCGATAATTCAATCGGTTTCAGTTTCTTTTCAGGGTAATTGCTAATGATCCTACGTACGTACGGGGCTTTAATAAGATTAAGCCATAAAACAGTATCGAATGTCGTATACTTCCGGGAACATGGGGAACGTGTGATTGGGTTTGCCTGCATCCCAACTTACAAGCTGGGCCATTCGATCACTTCAGTTGGTATTAACTGTTTTCCTTCCTGATCCTTCATCAACAGATACATTTGACCTGCCCACAGCATTTCTTACCTCCATGCCCACAATGACTCTTTTCTCGATCTATTGTTTCTACATAGAAAACTCAACCTTCCATAACCTAGTCAACAAACGACATATAAAAGCCATTTTAAGGTTACAAGAATAAAACATTACAAAACACAGCTTACCTGCAGGAGCTATCAAGAGAAGCAGAATCAACGACGCGATGATCAGTGTCTTCAAATCCATCTCCTGACACTCGTAAGGATACAGCTATGGCTGCGTATTTATTCACGGGGCGCAGACACTTGCTTGCACCTCACCGCTGGAATCTCTCCAAGCCTACAACTGCCCAATAATTTCAAGAGTTGCCCCGCACCGAGTCCTCGCGTTGATCTCGTGACTATTGGAAGAATGCCAAGGCGTCCCCACTGACGAAATGGGATTTTCCTGGCCGAGTTGGGCAAGGGATGTGAGGTAACTGGCCCGCCATCTAATTGGTTCAAGGATGTCACGTGTTTCGCCTGGATCACCCGGCCTAAAAGTACTCCGGAAGCCCTTCGTGCACATTAGGCAAAATGATTGTTTGCCATACCATATTACAAGAATCAATGTCTATCCGGGTCATACATAGCAAATAAACATGTCTGGCTTTGGAAATCCCCTTGCTTTTACTTCTGTTCGACACGGCACTGCCGTTTTGGGCCATTGTCTACATGTATATGCATCATATTTCAATCATTGAATTTTGTCAACAAAAGACTGGCGCCACATAACATGTAAGCGACAATCTATTGCATAGAGCAAGCAGGTCCCGGCACGCTAGCCTATCAAGTATGATTTCACAATGTAAGAAGTATGCCTTGAAAGAGATATATTACGGCCTGAAATTCCCGAAACTTGTATGTTTTGGACTCTGTTTACATATCCTATTTCAAAGGTCTGGTTAAAAGGAAACTAACCTAATGTCGCACTGTTCCTGAGAAAAGACGAAATATCCCGGTTGTTTACTTCTGACGCGGCGGAGGATTTGTGCCATATGCATATCAACCTCGTCCCCAGTGCTTACTTTATTTCCAACTGGGTTTCCAATAGTAAGCCCTGGATAGGAAACTTTGTTCCTGTATCCTGATTGGATACCGCAATTGGCTAGAAATGGATTTTTATCGTGTACTTGGTGTTGTTATTCAAAACATGCAGTGCGTATTTTCGCGATCATTCGTCCACGCCTTCTCGACAATACTCATTTCCCTTCCAATTTGTTCATATTAATATGAAATGTGTTACTGCATGTTGTCTCGATAAGATCGTAACAGTTTAATTAAAATAAATCGTGTTTTCGTAACTACGCCATGCTCGCGCTGCGACGAATTGACTCTTTTTACCCCAGACACCGCATACAAAAACAAGCACTAATGTAACGCACATGCAGGCACCAGACTGCTCCTCATTTGCATACGTGTTCAAAAATCCTGCACATGCAAAATAATGATCCAATACCAGGGTGAGAGAGCAGGTAGTGATGGGCGCGTACTGCTCAATACCCTGGGGACGAGGTTGTATCCATACGTATTTCCAGCCGTGTCCATTCAATGTACGGTAGACGTTGTGTGTGTACGTGACACATAATACACACATCACCAATACACTTTTTTTCGGGGATTTCAGGACGAAGTGCCCCTTTTCAGAGTGGACGTTTACGGCTCTTTCCAATCACTGACCATTTATAAATGATCCGTGTTCCAAAAGTAACATCTTTTCGTTTAAAACGCGTTTTGTAGCCCAAAGGGGCGCCCTCTAGGACGCAATGTCTCTTATATACAAGGCTGAAGCATGATGAAACTTACTGTTGTTGTTGTGGTCTCTCGTGTGGTCTCCTTAAGACACAAACTACACAGCCATTTGTCCCCATTATTTTATAAACAAGACAAGACAAGCTTAGTAAAGCTGGTCCCAGAGCGTGCAAAATGATGTTCAAACATGGAGGAATCTATTCCTCTGTGGTTCAAATGATTCAAAATGGCTATTCACTGGAAGCCTTTTCATGCATCTGGTCTATCTACACAGTGGGCCGGATTAGCCCATTCATTGGCGTAACGGGGTTATCGCTATATTATCCGGTGGCCTGATCTCTCCGGAATTCGCACGTTATCCTCGCAGGCTCAGTTATCCGCAGGGCTGCATAACCGGCACACTCACGCAAAAAGTGGTTCAGCCCAACCTCGTCCCCAGGGTGTCGAACAGTACGCGCCCATCACTGCCTGCTCTCTCACCCTGGTATTGGATCATTTGCATGTGCAAGATTTTTGAACACATATGCAAATAAGGAATAGTCTGGTGCCTGGATATGCGTTACATTAGCGTTTGTTTTTGTATGCAGTGTCTGGGGTAAAAACAGAGTCAATTCGTCGCAGCGCGAGCATGGCGTGAGTTACAAAAACACGATTTTTCAAATTAAACTGTTATGATTTTATCGAGACAACATGCAGTATTATATTTCATATTAATATGACCATATTGGAAAGGAAATTAGTATTTTCGAGAAGGCATGGACAAATGATCGCGAAAACACGTACTCCATGTTGTGAATAATAACACCAAGTACACGATAAAAATAAGTTTCCTATCCAGGGTTTACTTTTGGAAACCAGGTTGGAAATAAAGTAAGCCCTGGGGACGAGGTTGGGTTCGGCCAGCTTTCTATACAAAACCTTATTGGCTCGTGGTTTTGTGCGTAAACCTTATCAGTCAGCCGATCACGCTCAATGGACCGATCCAGTAAGCCCCGCCCACTGCGCACTGGGCAAATTAACACGTGCCCCTCTCCAATGCCACACTGCATTTTCCTGCCGCGCGCTTCATACGCGCGTGCACGCATGTCGGACTTTTGTGCACGCACGTCGGACTTTTGTGCACGCACGTCGGACATAAATCACGGCTGTGATTGGTCAGAACACTATGGGGCGGTGCTTAGTGGATCGGTCCATTGACTTCGGCAAAACCGCAAGTCCCATCATAAAGAATAAGTTAACGGGACCATTTTTTTCCAAGAGTGTGTTTCTAATGAGTAATGGCTGATGGGTTTTAAAAAGAACTTTTGCAAATGGGAAAGACACTTTGGAAACATCCAATCAGTTTGGACATTATGCTTCATGAATTTCTGCATAAACGAGCATTTTTAAACAGTATTTAATTACTATAGGTTTTCTCGGTCAATTTCGGCAAATGAGCAGCCAATTTAATTTTCGTGCGTTCGAATTGAAGCTATTTTGACTCTCCAGTTGTTACTGCGTTTCAAATTCAGAATTCGGCCATTCAATTTCGTTTTGAGGCATTCAAATTCCTTTAGCACTGTGTTCAATTTATCATATCTCATTCTTTTTCGTGACACACAATCATCATTCAATTTAGCAAAGCTGGTTCGACTGGAGATTTTACTGATTTAATTTTTTTCAATTTCGTAAAGAGGCAATCAATTTCGCTTAAAGAGAATTCAAATAAGTACGACTAAAGAAATACGAATAAACAGATAAACTGTACTAGGCAACTGTTTCGTATCTTCACTTTAATTCAGGCAAACCTTGTTTTCTTTATTTATGCTTCCAGTAGACTTTACATGGGGCCAATGAGGTTTTTTCTTCTTCTTTGTTTTCTTCTTCATTCTTTTTTTTTGGGGGGGGGGATCTTTATTGGTTAACTAACCAAGACCTAATTTTGTATTGTGTTTGAATGGGGCGTTTCTTTATGTTTTTCCTGGTTTTTTTATTGTTCATGTTGTTTCTTCCTCAACCATCAATCTGTTGGCGTGCCAGACATCTTGGCATATATGTTTGGGTATGGTTGTACCACTGCATGCACTTCACTTGGGTGATGGCATCAACGCTCTGGATGACTGCTTGTTGAAGGAGATCGCACCTCCACTGCTGCATGTTCATTCCTGCTTGCTGGGCAGCCTGTCTGTCTCCGACACGTTGTTGCCACTCAGGTAACCCAAGGATGCGTTTAATTGCAGCCTTGAATGCAGAGTGTGCCATCTCCGTGCTGTTCAGGAATGGGGAGTAGGGAGGGAGGCGCTTCAGCTGGATCATTGGGTTGGCACCTTCAGGGAGTTGGGCTTCCACGTGAGGCCTCGCATTGTCGAATATGAGGTAAATGGGTTCGTCGTTTGGGAAAACTGCATCACACTCTTGAATTGTGTCCGCAAGAAACTCCTCGAATCTCTCTCGCGTCACAGTTTCGAATTCGATTCGGTGGTGCACCAAGCCTATTTCACTAGAAGCAGCGAAGGTGACATTGCAATTTCTCCCTCGTTGTCCAAAAATGAATTTGAATGACTAAACACACGCCTCAAAAAGCTCCTGCGAATTTGAATGCTGCTTTGTTGAATTGTTGAATTGCATGATTATTTTGTTAAATCAAATGACGCAACAGTACATTTGACTGGTCATAAAACGAAATCGAATGACCCTTTTCAGTAGCATTTGATTTTGCGCGAAATAGAATAGCGTAGTGGTTAAATTGGCTGCTCATTTGCCGAAATTGACCGAGAAAACCTATATTACGGTGTGGTGGTGGGGGGGGGGGGGGCTAGGCAGAAGATATATCAGAATGGCGCAATAAGACCGACAGCGGGCGCAATAATTTTGATTAGGGTTTCAAAAATTTCTACGCGAGCCGTTTGCATAAAAAGTGACCCCACAATTTTTTTGTAAAAACCGAGACCGTCTAGTTTAATAATAGGTGGAATCGGGCGAATATAGCCGAGGATCATCTCCCTAGCTTTTGGGTTATTATCTAAGAGCAGATTTGATAAAATCAGGGTCCAAAAATGGGTCCTATTTGCACGAGAAAATGTAGGGATTGGTAAATTTGGCAGTAGGCTCAGCCTTGCTGCGACGGGCTTCGAAGCTTGTTGATGGGCTTTTAAAAAGAACTTTTGCAAATGGGAAAGACACTTTGGAAACATCCAATCAGTTTGGATATTATGCTTCATGAATATCTGAATAAACGAGCACATTTTTAAACAGTATTTAATTACTATTATTTTTCGGTGCGGTGGGGGGGGGGGGGGGGCTAGACAGAAGATATATCAGAATGGCGCGATAAGACCGACAGCGGGCGCAATAATTTTGATTAGGGTTTCAAACATTTCTACGCGAGTCGTTTGCATAAAAAGTGACCCCACAATTTTTTGTAAAAACTGAGACCGTCTAGTTTAAAAATCGTGCGAATAAAGCCGAGGATCATCTCCCTAGCTTTTGGGCTATTATCTAAGAGCAGATTTGATAAAATCAGGGTCCAAAAATGGGTCCTATTTGCACGAAAAAATGTAGGGCATTGGTAAATTTGGCAGTATACAGGCTCAGCCTTGATGCGACGGGCTTCGAAGCTTGTCGCCAGTGGACTTTCCGATGAATGCATGGGCGTGGGGGGGG